AGCGAGGCTCGGGGGATAATGTCTTGTCTTTTAAACAGAGAGGCACTGGGGATAATGTCATGTCTTTAAACAGAGAGGCACTGGGGATAATGTCATGTCTTTTAAACAGAGAGGCACTGGGGGATAATGTCATGTCTTTTAAACAGCGAGGCTCGGGGGATAATCGGATGTCTTTTAAACAGGGAGGCACTGGGATAATGTCATGTCTTTTAAACAGAGAGGCACTGGGGATAATGTCATGTCTTTTAAACAGCGAGGCTCGGGGGATAATCGGGAGGCACTGTCATGTCTTTTAAACAGAGAGGCACTGGAGAGATAATGTCATGTCTTTTAAACAGCGAGGCTCGGGGGATAATCGTCTTTTAAACAGATGTCTTTTAAACAGGGAGGCACTGGGATAATGTCATGTCTTTTAAACAGAGAGGCACTGGGGATAATGTCATGTCTTTTAAACAGCGAGGCTCGGGGGATAATCGGATGTCTTTTAAACAGCGAGGCACTGGGGATAATGTCATGTCTTTTAAACAGCGAGGCTCGGGGGATAATGTCATGTCTTTTAAACAGAGAGGCACTGGGGATAATGTCATGTCTTTTAAACAGAGAGGCACTGGGGGATAATGTCATGTCTTTTAAACAGCGAGGCTCGGGGGATAATGTCATGTCTTTTAAACAGAGAGGCACTGGGGATAATGTCATGTCTTTTAAACAGCGAGGTGCGGGGGATAATGTCATGTCTTTTAAACAGCGAGGCGTGGGGGTGATATCATGTCTTTTAAACAGCGAGGCACTGGGGATAATGTCATGTCTTTTAAACAGAGACGCGGGGGATAATGTCATGTCTTTTAAACAGAGAGACGCGGCGGATCATATCATGTATTTTAAACAGCGAGGCACTGGGGGTAATGTCATGTCTTTTAAACAGAGAGACTCGGGGATAATGTCATGTCTTTTAAACAGAGAGGCACTGGGGGCAATATCATGTTTTTTAAACAGAGAAGCTCGGGGGATATGTCATGTCTTTTAAACAGAGAGGCTCGGGGGATAATGTCGTGTCTTTTAAAGAGAGGCACTGGGGATAATGTCATGTCTTTTAAACAGCGAGGCACTGGGGATGATGTCGTGTCTTTTAAACAGAGAGACGCGGCGGATAATGTCATGTATTTTAAACAGCGAGGCACGAGGGATAATGTCATGTCTTTTAAACAGCGAGGCATAGGGGATAATGTCATGTCTTTTAAACAGAGAGGCGCGGGGGATAATGTCATGTCTTTTAAACAGCGAGGCTCGGGGGATAATGTCATGTCTTTTAAACAGGGAGGCACTGGGATAATGTCATGTCTTTTAAACAGAGAGGCTCGGGGGATAATGTCATGTCTTTTAAACAGCGAGGCATGGGGGTGATATCATGTCATTTAAACAGAGAGGCGCAGGGGGATAATGTCATGTCTTTTAAACAGAGAGGCTCGGGGATAATGTCATGTCTTTTAAACAGAGAGGCACTGGGGGCAATGTCATGTTTTTTAAACAGAGAGGCTCGGGGGATATGTCATGTCTTTTAAACAGAGAGGCTCGGGGGATAATGTCATGTCTGTTAAAGAGAGGCACTGGGGATAATGTCATGTCTTTTAAACAGCGAGGCACAGGGGATGATGTCGTGTCTTTTAAACAGAGAGACGCGGCGGATAATGTCATGTATTTTAAACAGCGAGGCACGAGGGATAATGTCATGTCTTTTAAACAGCGAGGCATAGGGGATAATGTCATGTCTTTTAAACAGAGAGGCGCGGGGGATAATGTCATGTCTTTTAAACAGCGAGGCTCGGGGGATAATGTCATGTCTTTTAAACAGAGAGGCACTGGGATAATGTCATGTCTTTTAAACAGAGAGGCTCGCGGGATAATGTCATGTCTTTTAAACAGAGAGGTGTGGGGGGATAATGTCATGTCTTTTAAACAGCGAGGCATGGGGGTGATATCATGTCTTTTAAACAGAGAGGCGCGGGGGGATAATGTCATGTCTTTTAAACAGAGACGCGGGGATAATGTCATGTCTTTTAAACAGCGAGGCACGAGGGATAAAGTCATGTCTTTTAAACAGGGAGGCATGGAGGATAAAGTCATGTCTTTTAAACAGCGAGGCACTGGGGATAAAGTCATGTCTTTTAAACAGCGAGGCACGAGGGATAAAGTCATGTCTTTTAAACAGCGAGGCACGAGGGATAAAGTCGTGTCTTTTAAACAGCGAGGCACTGGGGATAATGTCATGTCTTTTAAACAGCGAGGCACGAGGGATAATGTCATGCTGGCGTTATCTTATCTGATGGATTGATATGGACAACGCAATGTTACTATAGTTGTACAGGTAATGCAAACATAGCAACTGGGACTTCGTCAATAACATGACCAACATGAAAATTATTCTATTGAAGGGATCTAAAAAAAATCTGGTATTATTTCCAAACTAAAAGAATAATAATAATACTAATGAAACGAGTAATAGGAGTGTTCCTTCAACTGAAGACATAGCATGAAGTTTTATCCATTTTTAATCATTTGAGTCCAGCTCCAAAAACACTTTTGAATGATAATTAAAATTACGCTAAACGCATATCTGATTAAAAATTAAACGAAATGTATTCATTTCCAAAAATACAAATGATGTCCCGCCCCTTCCTTAATGGAAACCAAAACTCACAATTTTAAGTGCCGTAAACTCTCTAATCCACGAGAGAATTGTTACTTCGGGGTCTGAACAACTTGGTGCAAGCATTTAATTTTCCCACTCTTGGGTCCCACCCTTCAGACCTGTAAGTTACCTGTACCTTATATTGCAGTTAAGGCTGTATGTTACCTGTGACATATATAGGTTGAAAGTTACGTGTAACGTGTTTTGTTTGTGTTAAGGCTGTATATTACTGTTCATGTTTGAATTCAAGCTAAAAATTACTTGTAACATAGGTTTGAATTCAGGATGCAATGCATTTGAAAAAGTTGTTTTAATTAAGGCTGTATGTTACTTGTGATGTAGTTTTGAGTTAAGGCTGTATGTTACTTGTATATTTGTAAGAATTAAGGCTATATGATACTTGTGATGTAGTTTTGAGTTAAGGCTGTATGTTACTTGTATATTTGTAAGAATTAAGGCTACATGATACTTGTGATGTAGTTTTGAGTTAAGGTTGTATGTTACTTGTATATTTGTAAGAATTAAGGCTATATGATACTTGTGATGTAGTTTTGAGTTAAGGCTGTATGTTACTTGTATATTTGTAAGAATTAAGGCTATATGATACTTGTGATGTAGTTTTGAGTTAAGGCTGTATGTTACTTGTATATTTGACTTAAGGCTACATGCTACCTCTAACATATATTTTAATTAAGGTTGTTTGTCAACTGTAATATTTGTTTGAAGCAAGGAGGTATGTCACTGGTGTGAACTAAGGCACTATATTCCTTGCAATGTATGACTGAATTAATCTTTTCTTATTTCTTTTTATTTATATGTTAAATTTAAATTATCATTCCTTAAATATTCGTTTAATTTTATTGTTTTATTTTGTAAGCCGAATCATGAGTTAGACTTACACAATATGCTACATTGTATTTTCGCTTTACCTCATTGCGTCAAAAAGAACTATTAAAGAAGGTATGTCCGAAAGCAATATACCTGTGATTTGTGTGAGAGTTGCCCCCTTGCTTTATATGTCAGACTTATTCCCCTTAAATTTTATACATGTTATTCGTGTCATTATATATTAAACTTAGCATTATACTTTTATACTAAAGCTCTGTAACATATATATATATATATCTGTAAGAGTTGTCTCCCTTGAAAATATCATACTCGATTAATAAGAGTAAATTCCCTTGATAATAATTACTACACAAGTGAAACTTAAGAACAATTGATATTTAAAAAGACAATATACTAATAAACAATTAGATTTGTTATGAAAAACATTTTTTTCATAACTAAAACTACTTCCATCTCGACACAGAATTGTCTAATGCTTTCAGATTTTTAATTGAATGTTGATCGAAAAATGTAAAGATAATGAAGGGAATGAGTCAATAATGTCAATAAATGTAAGTTTTAAATCATATTTAACACCTACACAAAAGACAAAAAACTGCTTTTAGAATCAATTGTCTCAGATATCAGAACATTTATCGCATTTTAAGTCTGATATACAAAATCTTGTCACTCGGCCAGTCAATTACTGTTTTACGTGGTGTTTGTTTGGGTTTAGCTTCATATAATATGTGGATTCAGGATTTATAAAGAGTAGAAATTCTCCTTCTTTCCAATTTTTTATTTGTATCACCCACAATCAACAAATCAAATTAAAATAAGATTTTCAAATAATAAGATTTTCAAATAATCATATTTTTCAAAATCATATTTTTCTCTTACTTAATAGATTGATAAAGTAAATACGGTTTAATTGGTACAAGTTATTAACATCATAACGCATCTAGGGTCAAATTTATTCTAACCGGAAGAGTGTAATTTCGACAATAAATGAAAAATCTTCTCGCCTTTATCGGTTCATCTTATCTCCGCATATTAGCAATAAAGCAAATTTCTTATCACAACCAACAATCGGCAGGTATGAAATGCCACACCTGTCAGTAGGAATAGAGAAGGGACATAACTCAATAGAATCACACTGCCCGAGGGCGTATGGCCGATCGTTAGAAGTGATGTGGAGGTCCCATAAGTCATTACGTGCCAGTGGGTTGACAGATCGGTCCTGTAAACTTCCGTATAGGGCCCAGACTGGACGTGTATACCTGTACGCATGCCACGTGGCCAGAGAAGTAGATATAGGTCCGGCCCCGTGCAATGTTGGTTTAATCCTGGGAATGTGACAGATCGGACGGAACCTATACCAGTGATAAGACAGTCTCTTACAGAAGATAATTCTTCGGAAAGGAAAACTACTAGAGTTGTAACGTTTACTAAACACTGCAAATAATAACATAATTTTTCATTAAATATGGTAGAATTGTATAAGAAAATGCTGTTGTGCGCTATAGGAACCTTAGCAGTCGTTGCCATGGTAACAGCTAATGACATGAACATGAAAGGTGACGTTCCTGATGTGCACGTGCTCGTGATGAAGACTTCGGAAAAATGCACGAGAAAAGCGGCCAAACATGACATTCTTGTTCTCCATTACGAAGGATTCTTTCCCAACGGGACAAAGTTCGATTCCAGGTAGGTCAATCATCCGCTTATGTTATGAAAAAGTTGCTTTCTCTTTCTATAAATATTGTCTCTGGTCTGGTGGCGACTTTCACTTAGGCGTTCGGGGTTCGATTCCCGGAATGGACGTGAAAATGTATGCCCGGCCACGTGAGGTTGTGCCGGTTATTCGGCCTCCTCTCTCGCAGGACAATATATTATATAGTGGAAATAATACCTGTATTATTTTGTGTAATTACAAGTAATGGTTCGTGTAAATTATTTTCTCTTACAATATTCATTTCAAAATCGATCGACTACCACATTGAATATCTTTCAAATGATATTACTTTTCCTAAACTCGCAGAATATCATAAAGACACATTTTTGACACTTCCGGTTACAAAAATATGACAGGAAGTGTATATCAAAATGGACTAACGTCTTACATAGAACAGATTCGAACTTTCATTTCAGATCAATACTCCGGTAGAACTGTGTGTAAATGATCAAACGTCACAATTTCCGGTATAAATTGACGAAAAATACGTTTCTCTAAAGTCTAGTACATCGTTTGTCAACCTTGTAGTATTCACGTCGATATTAAAACGGAAGTAAGAATTAGTGGCGCGTTTCCGAAAATGATTTATTCCAACTGGTTTTAACGAACCTAGACATATTTTGTCTTATTTTCCTTGTTTCTGTTTTGACTGACAGAGGATACCATTATGATTTTTTGTTCACGTCAGATCTTTTCACGAGATTCAAGATAAGAACGGTTCTCACGTGAATTGATATCAAATCGACGCGTCCTCAATTTAACACGGATCTGGAATCTACATTGTCAGTGTTCCATTTTTTCCTTGCCACATCAATGTCATAAATATATAAGTGTCTTTTAGAATTTTAGAATGACGTTTCACACGAGCAAAATAGCAGTATTTTTTATAGTTTATATTTATCTGAGCCACTGAAAACGGTTCATGTGATACGTAACACACACCACACATAGTTACCTTCGATAAGGCTGCGGTCATACAATTTTATACACACCGCGCTACAACTTTACATATATTTACATACTTGGATATTCTTCATACCAGTTCCATGTACTCGGTAGCATGTAGAGGAGCTGTTCACCAAACCTTTAACATGATGGCCATCGCTTGAAACTATTCGTAGTCAGAAAATATAGTTAACGTTCTTGATCAGAACAACCTGTACCACGGGGTTCGAGAAAGGGGCGGGGTTGTCTCTTTTTATCTAGATACAACTTTACGTGTAACCTGTCTATGATCGTGGACGTTTGGGATAATAAGCCAGTCTTTCTAAGCTACACCGGTGAAAGATAAATGATAAATCATTTGTCGCCAGAGGGCACCACTAGCGGTGATTCGTGAAGTCTTGAATAAAGTGGATTTCTGCGAGACGTTTTATAGATGTAAGTCAGGTTTATTAACATGGAATCCGATGTTAACATGATGTGTTCATTGTTTCGTGTTTATGTTACAAACGAACTAGACTACGAGCTGTAATTACTTATTGATCGTAGCAGGACCAAGCACAACCTCAAACAAGTCTTTAAAAAGCAAAAATGATTCTGATAAATAGACTAAAAAACAAAATATAAACACATACAAAAAACAAATACACACACACAAAGGAGGATCCTTTTACGATACGAGTTCTGACATTATAGTAATTAAGGTAATTTGTATGGCAAATGAATACATATGTTTACCTACAAAGATGGGGGAAATGTTACATTCATTCAGGTAAAAAAAAAATAACTCGTTTAATTGACTTAACCACTGCGTTTTACCTGAGAATTGTTGTTCGTGGTTTTGGAGCTCATCACCACAGGATTCACTACATGTGCTTCAGCTAAATAAGATACATGATGGGGTCCACATTTCCTGATGTTTCCACATTCGCCAACACTTAATTTGATTTTTAAAGTTTTTTGTTAAATTAGACATGATTCATCTTCAAGCATTCTGAGGTCTAATGTACTGAACAATGAAAATGTTGTAATTTGTCAAATCGACAGAAAAAAAACTGTGTATGTCTTGTATACGTATGTGTATATCGTCTGATCATGTCAGTGTAACTGACATCAGTGTCTCTCATTGCCTGTCAATCTCACGGGAATGGACATGTGCAGAGCATTGTTAGCTTTTCTCTTTCAAAACAAAATATACGGTAGACCCCTATCTGCTGCTTGTGGTGTTCATCACCCACGGAGAACGGGAAAAGTTAAATATAAACACTATTTAAGCTTTAAAGATTAACATAGACATCAGAACCTTAAAATACCATTCATATTTTTGTTTTGTTTTGTAACGTAAAGCTGACAAGCATGTTGGGTAGAACACTGAAGACATGTCAACGGTTTACGTTTGCTGTCAAAACAGCCTTGACTCATAATTAGCTTAATGAACTTAAATGCTGAAACAAAGGTATAAAAATAAATCGCTGATTAGCTTGAATGTATAATAACTTCACTAATGTGAACGCAAATTTTATCAAAACAATAAGAAAAATATCAGAATGTAAACAAAAACCCAAACATTGGCGAATTTTTAGCGGAGGCCATTGCCTGCGAACTAGATCGCTTTTATATCATTATAAACTAAGTCCATTTCACAATGACAGCTTTAAACCGATAAACCGTCTGAAGTGATGGACTGTTTCAGAAAGTGGACTTTTCTCAACCCTGCTTTTTTTCTATGCAGTATCGAGAGGCCGGGAGCCAACCCCTTCCAGTTCCAGCTTGGAATAGGACAGGTTATCCAGGGCTGGGAACGAGGGCTTCTGGATATGTGTACAGGAGAAAAACGCAAACTGACTGTACCATCCTCACTGGCGTACGGAGAACAAGGATCAGGTAAGTTCTGTTCCTAGAAGTGAGTCTTGCGTGTCCCCGTTAAGGTATTTACTGTGAAGATAGTAGAACTATTTATATCCATTTGTAAGTTCACTTTAGAACATGTCAGGAGAGAGTTATCTCCCTTCGTTAGTACTCTGCGGTGAAGATTCTGGAGCGTATTAGCTTTCTTTGTAACTTCTTTTCTTGCAACAAGTGTGGAGAGAGTTATGTCCCTTTGCTAGTATCACTGAAGTGAATTGAACAAGTCTGAAATGATTTATATCCCTTGATTGGTATTCTTCTGTCAAGTTACTGGGGCAAATTATCTCCCTTAGTAAGTTTTTATCCTTGAACAAGTCTGGAGAAAGTACTTTTTGAACTATTAAAAGTTAATATGTAAGTTAAATTAAACTATCCAAAACTGTATTCTACTAGACATAAGTCAGACGTGTTGTCCAGAAGCCAGAACATACTTTCTGTTAATAATCTATCACACATGTCCAGTATACATTCGCTCCCGGGTTAATTACATAAGCTTACCAATACCGTCTAGCAGGACAGGTCAGCAAAACCTTAGCTTGTCGTAAACCACCTAATCTACCACTATGTGTGTGCATTAGACCATGTAAATAACTCATGTGTTATCCACTTCTTGTTAGCAAATATGTAATATTAGATTATCAATGTCTACGACTTTTAGTATAAATACGACTAGGTTTCTAGCCAGTCGTCGATTCGGTTCCTGAAGGCATGCGAGTGTACCACCTCTCCATGTCTACACACAATAAATTTACATCAACCTAAACAGCGTTTGGATTTCTTCATCTCCACTCAACACTGCAACACTCTTCATTCTCAACAAAGAAGTTCACCCACTA